GTACCTAAGCACTCTACCCAGCCTGTGGCCCCATCTCTGCAAAGATCACCATGGAAACTGAGGGACAAACTCTTACCTGCAACATACTTACAACTTCCTAGCTTTCTTCTTTCTTTTCTTTTCCTTTCCTTTTCTTTCTTTCCTTCCTTTTCTCCTTTTTCTCATAATTTCTGTACAAAGTTAAGCTTTTTGTGTTGTTGTTAAACTATTTTTTCATCCTGTTTTTGAGCTGCCCTTCTGTGGTTCCTACTTGTCTCAGTACAAGTCTTTTGTTATGTCTGGTACCTGTGCTCTGACACTTCAGTGTGACCAGACTAAAAGGTAGGTGGCTTTGTATCCACCCTCCTTCCTAGGCCGACAGCTGGCTGTGTAGAGCTGGTGACATGGTTCTGTTTCTATTGAAGGGAAATGTCAAGAGACCTCAGGGACCTGTATTCTCACTAGGTCTCTGTAGGCTGGGGAGAGGAGGTAGTTATGGGTGGCTTGGCTGGTTGAACAGTTTGATGTAGGAGGATTTCGGCCTTGTGGGTTTGAGAGCCCTCCAGCTAAGATCTGTACTGTTCAGGTGTGCAATATCAAAAGCAGGAGATAGAGGCTACAGTCTCCCCAAGCTTTGGATGCCCTTGGAGTTGCATCCTTTTCTTGCCCACTATGGGGAGCTCGGGAAAGGGCCATCCATGGAGTGGATTGAGTACAATTACTGAAATTAGACACCAACAGATGGCTAGGTGTGGCCAGTAGGGCCAGTGGAGGCTAAGCCCATGGCCCAGTGTCAAAGACTGTCACTGTGAACAAACCACCACTTGTCACTGACCGCTTTTGTATTTCTATTGGGGGAGGTGGGTTGTGAGGACAACCCCAGTTCCTGGGCTTTACCCCCAGAGTTTCCAAATTAGAAGACCCAGGGGGAAGTTTGCATATCTGATACATCCTCAGGTAATTCCATGTTGCTGTAGAGAGAATGGTCTGGTCTGGAGACCTGCATTGAAAACCACTTGTTGCCCAGGGCCAGGCTGACATGCCTGAAGGATCGTGGCTCTGGTTTGTTTCTGGTTAACACAGCTTTTCAAAGGCCTTTGTATTTCTCAGGACTGTACAGCAGGGCTTTCTATAATTTGGCCTCTCATAAAGCCAGTCAGGCTTTATCAATCTTCTAAAGCGTCCATGAGGTTTTACTCTTTGAAGATTAATTTTTATCTAGGAAAATGACGAAAGTAACCAAAGGGAAGTGTGTGGAAAGGTGAGACCAGAAGGTAACCTAGGGAGACAAGACCTTTATCTGTGGACCCATTTGTACCTTTGATATAAACCGAGGCAGTTCCTAGAGGTACCCAAGGATTACTAAAATGTGAACCAACTTGCAAGATCCTTGAGCCTCTGTATTTGAATTCCTTATCAGTATCTGGCCATCATAGGACACTCACAATGTGAGCACCAGGATGCTGGGTGGGAAGCTGGGCATGACTGTCAAGCTTCACCTGCTGGACTTTGGGATCCCGATGCTTTGGGGTCTGCATGTGGGTAAGAGATGGCCTTGGCACATCCTTCTGAGAAGACTGATGCCAAGCTTGAGTGAAAACACACATCAAAGACACTCCGGCAGATGGGATGCTGTACTCAGTGGTGGGTGAGAGGAGCCAGGGAATGCTGTACTCAGTGGTGGGTAAGAGAAGCTGAGCATGTTGGGACAGCTCTGGGAAGGACTCTGGCTCTGCTGTTGGGGCTGAAAGCCTCCACACAGTCACTTTCTGAGTCAGGCGTTGTTAAAAAATGATGCATGGAGCACTCTGTAGAAGCTTCTCAGGGGAGTCCCCCACCCCCAAAGGCTCTACATTTGCTCAGAGAAAATGGGTGTAGCTTTGGATACTGGACCCCGGTGAGAGACAAGACAAGGGTGTGTGCTGGGGGGCATCAAGGGTTTGCCTCATTCCCTGCATAGACACCTCTAGCCTGGACTGCATTTCTGGTCCCCAGTGAGCACTTGTCTTCAGTATGGTAGGTGTAGCCCCCAGGCTGTTCGTAATATCTTGGGGAAAATAAAGTTGTGTATTCAATATGTAGGGGGGTACTAATAGTGAATATTAAATATCCACAAGAACAGTGAAGCAGAAAGTAAAATGGTCCCATGTGTGACCAGGAACCCCTTCAGGCACATCCCAATTCTAGAGGGTCATGGGTAGTATCTACCCACGCTCAGTGTCCATTGGATTATAGATGCCATTCTGGAGATTTGCTGAGCATTAGGAACAAACTTCTTCTTTTTTTTTTCTTTCAGATTTTTTATTTGAATTAGAAACAAGATTGTTTTACATGACAATCCCAGTTCCCTTCTCCCTCCGTCCTCCCATACCACCCCCCACCCAACTAAAACCCTACCTGTCACATATCCTTTCTGCTCCCCCTGGATGGTGAGGCCTTCCATAGGGTGTCATCAGAGTCTATCATATGCTTTGGGATTAGGCCCACCCCCGTGTGTCTTGGCTCAGGGAGTATTCCTCTATGTGGAATGGGCTCCCAAAATCCACACCTATGCTAGGGATAAGTACTGAATTACTACAGGAGGTCCCGTAGATTTCCGAGGTTTTCTCAATAAAATCCAAGAAACAAACTTCTTATAGTACTGAAATGGACTTGCCTAGGCTTCTCCTATGATAACTAGATAGCCATCCAGGATGGGGTCTATAGGAGGAACTGGGTTCATCCATGCAAAAGTTCCCAGACCAGCTAATTCAGGCCCTGTACTGGGGAGCTGGAATTCAAGAAACTTCTCAGCTTTGGTCATTAGCCCATGGGAACTAGGTGGGAAAGACCCAAGTCCCAGTCCAGCTGTGCCTCTTCCAGTGTGACCTTGGGAAGGGTGTCCACTTCCTCCTTCTGTAGGCCTGGACTGCTTCGTCTGTAAGGCCCGGCCACCTCAGGCAATTTCTGTACCCACTTGGCTGAGTATGCCATATTGCAGCTGCTGGAATGCTACTGGGACCTGCATCCCGCTAAGAAGAGGCAGGCTGGGGAGGAGAGGGCAGTCAGTGGCCTCTGCTACATTGGTAGGACTAAAGCAGGCCAGTTTCTCCTTCCACCCATGTCAGCCACTGGTGCGTCACCCAGTTCCTGTTTCTCTTTGCCCACCCAGGAAGGCGCTGCAGATGAAATCCTGGGCCAGATGGCGGATACTGTGAGCCTGGTCAGAAAATGCTGGCTCACAGGACACAAAACGGGAAGCTGGTTTTCCCAAGAGATTTGCTGGGGAAATGGGGGCGGGTGCTGTTCCTCCTGACTGTGTAGGTGTCACACAACCAGGTTCTTCAGCTTCCAGAAACTTTCTCCCTGACACTGCCAATAGGGCCTCTGAAGGAAAGTAAAGACCCCAGATCACCACAGCTGCTAGTATCAAGAGCCTCGTGCCCCAGAGAAGCTTTGCTGTTAGTGACCTGCATGCAGCACAGAGAGGGTCCTTAGAAGAATTCCAGTCAGACCTCAATGGCTGGGCAATCTGCCCTCCACAGGACTTCCTAACTCCATGTAGCGGGAGTACACATGGTGGGAAACACACAATACACCAGCCTGGGCAACGTTCCGTATTTCCTACTTCCCACGTCCTTTGTACACCATGCATTGTGAAGGAATCTCATGGGGAATGATAGGGCTATTCCAAAAGTCATACACCCCTCCACTAATGGTGCGGAAAAGTGGGTTGTTAACGAAAGGCCCTGGGGAAGTGTGCAGGGTCCACTGGAGCTCAGGGTGAACCCAGGGTGCTATCTTAAATAGGCTGCCTGGGAGGGAGACAGCTGGGGACAGGGGGATGTCCCAGGAAACTTTGAGTGGTACTGCCTTCTCAGCTGTCAGGGGTGCTGTTCAGAATCACAGCTGGAAACAGTGGCCAGCTTAGATTTGACCTTCCTCCCATGGGAGTGTTGTCTCCAATCACCTCAACCATCTCGTGGAAAAACTGCTCCATCCCTGGTGTGTGTGAGTGTGTGTGTGTGTGTGTGTGTGTGTGTGTGTGTGTGTGTGTGTGTACGCAGCAGATTTGAGTGCAGAGCTAACTTTGTGAGATTTGAGTGCAGAGTGAACTTTGTGAGATTTGAGTGCAGAGCTAACTTTGTGAGATCTGAGTGCAGAGCTAACTTTGTGAGATTTGAGTGCAGAGCTAACTTTGTGAGATTTGAGTAGAGCTAACTTTGTGGGCCTACAGCATGTCCTTTGGGGGCGTGGCACCATCTGCACCTCTATCTACTCTGCCTTTGGAAATACCCTTTCACTTGTTTGGGAGAGCTAGCTGAGAATGTGATCTGCAAGCAGGGTGCATCTTGGGAGGTTGACCACAGGGGCCTCAAGCAACAATGCAGTTATTAATAGAACTATGGTCTTTCTGGAACTTTTGTCAGCTTTGTACAATCCTTGCAACCTCTGCTTGATTGTGTGTGTGGGGAGAGGGGGTTGTCTCATTTTTTCCTTCCTTCCTATGGAGGCTACTGGGCACAAGTTCAAGTGAGCTCACAGCTGTGATCTTCAGAGTCTCAGAGGAGAGAGATGACTAGGGGCTTTGCACCTTCATGAATTGGAATTCCCAGTGACCTTAGTTGAGGTTGCTCTGGGTCCTTGGGGGTGGGAGCTCATGGCATCACCTGGGGTATCTCCTAAGTTCTATGTGAGTTTCCAGCAAAATCAACAAGGACACACAGAAATAGAGTCTCAAAGCTTACTGGGCATCAGACCCCATGGGGAAGTCACAACAGGGCGACTCTAAACAAGACAGTGGGATTCTAAAAACATTTGTCTTTCGGATCTCCCCTGAAAGGTTTTTAAAATGTTGCCACACCTCACCATCACCCTGCAATTTCGAATATCACTATGTGAATCGATGTGTTATTGATTTGACCCTCTGCTCACAGCGGCGCGTTTATGATCTGTCTCCCTTTTCGGTTTCCATGTACTAGAGTGACTGTCTCAGTGCGGTTGGCAGTGACCTATGTTTTTCTTGCATATTTTTGTTTCAGAATAACTGGGAGCTGAAACAGGAAGCCCCATGACACAGTTGATCGAAAATGACACAGACACAGAGAAATCAGGATGTCCTCCCAGCAGCACCTCTACCTGCTGCCTGCTGATGGCAGCTAGAAGGCAGGTGAAGGGTTTCCCTCTCTGGCAATGGATTCTAACTACTGAGGGTTCTGGTGGACCTCCTTGCTCACTGGTCACAGGCCTGCAGTATTATTGGTGATAGTCTTTGGTTGGTTTCCCACTTATCGGGCCCTCTCTCATGTCTTGATCTTTTCTTTATTAAAAGCAAAACTGAAGAAAATGGAATAGTCTGTTAATTAGCTATAGAGAAACACTAAGGATGCTAAGCTTGAACTTAAGGTAACCTTCTCCAAGGCTACTTGTCAAGATTGTTATAACCACATAGATCACCACAGCATCTTTAAAAAGTGTGCTGAGCTTGAATCTCTGACCTTAGCCATGTTTGTTCTGCTTTTGATTCTTGTTCTAGAAGATCTCTCTGGAGTCACTGTTGGCAGGCCCACAGATGAGAGCATTGGGATCTGTCCATGTTCATTCTGGTCACAGCTGATAACCGGCCTAGAAATCACCCTCAACTTTGAGCTGCAATGGGAAATTCCAACTCTCTCTGCCCCCGCCCCACATATACAGCACTGATTTGAAGATTCAATACATAATGATTTCTTATGGGGCCTACTGGATGCCTTGTTCTAGAGACAAGATGGGATAGCCTCTGCCCCTACCTCCCTGGCATGTGTAGTCTACTTACAAGTAAGCTTGGCTCAAGAAGTGAAAAACTATGTATCTCATGGATGTTTCATCCAGATGTCCTGATTTTCCAAATGCATTCTTCAAATCCTGTGACTGGCACTCCAATATCCTCTGAAATGGTTAAATGGCCAGTCATCCCTTTTACAGAGTCCTCATCTCATCCCCAACTGTAAGATGAATGCATTCATCATCCTGGGAATGTAGCCAAAGAGGCCATTTATAGCCACCTTCCAAGAGTCTATTAGTTTTCACTTGTAAGCTTAACAGAAATCCAAGAATAACTCAGTGGCTGTGCTCACTACTTTATACTCTCAACATCAGATTGCTAATTGGTCATGGGGCTCATCACAGAGGCCCTGTGTGAATGGCCCAGGGATATTATCCAGTTCTCACCCAAATGCTGAGACTCTGGGAAGCGTCCCTGAACACCAAGTCTTGAGAGACATCCTTACCCCTTCCATTTAGTGTCTACTATTTTCTGCATAGGGCTTAACTAGTATTAGAAGTGACCTTCGTTGTTTGTTTATTATCTGTGCATCTCGATGTCCTCTCTAGTTTCCTCTTTATAGAGGCAGATGTGCTGTCTTATCCCCAAGTCTGTCCATGGCATCAGGCACTTAGTACAGCAGACATGTGTTGCCTAAGTCCATCATCTCGTTGCTTCTCAGCAACAGGAAGATTTGTGTTCTAACCACGTGGTAAAGCTAAGCCTCCGTGTCTACAAATGGTTGCTGGAGCAGCAGGGTGAGGATTCAGCCCATCCTTCAACCCCCTGCTCAGCAGGAGAGGTGAGACACAAGCCCTCTACTGTCTTCATACCTGGATGCTCATCAGAACCAATCTTCTCCTTGCTTGTCTATCCTCAAGTCCAAGTTTGTTTAATTATATTCCTGGAAAATCAAAATAAGTCTCCAGTGGGGTGTCTGCAGCAGTAGCTTTCCCCAACAGAATGCCCTGAGACTTTATCTCCTGTGCTAGCTCCATTTGTCTGGGCTCTCAAAGAGAAGGGAGCAATGTGGAGGGGTCACACAGGGAACGGAGACAAAGCCCCAAGAAGTGAGTGATAAGAAGCTTAGACCCATGTTCATGTGCCTGCAGAGTTTCACACAGTCCTCTCTGGGCAGACCTCTAACCTGAAGCAGGGGCTCCCACTATCAGGCATGTCTCCCCAGATAGCCTTCCCTCTATATGTTCTCAAACAGAACACAGTCCACCCTCTGTTCATTGCCCACCTCTACTCAGTAGGATATTTATGGCCTCAACAAAAGAATGGGATTCACAGGCTTTGGAAGGACCAGAAATGATCTGTTCAGCATTCATGGGATAATTCACTCATAAGGATAATAAGAGAAAAAGCAAAAGAGAATTGACCATATAATTTTCGATGCTTTTAGGACAAAATTCTGACCCTCACCAGAGAGTAGAATTACTCATGAATAATATATGAAAAAAACAACCAAACCCCCAACATCTAGGATTCACCTGGACTTAAAGCATCAGAATTTGGAAAAAAGAAACACGAGGAACAAACACTGACATTTTGAAATTCTCCAAAGGCATTTAAATTTTTTTATTTTATTATTTTGTGTATGTAA